AAAGGGTTAAGCGAACGTATCTGGGACCGAGCACAGTCGGCGTCCTAGACCACGTAGCTCAGCAGCGGGGTACATGGAAATAAAGTAAATCCGGTGGCACTCTGGTACTCCAAGACCAGTTTATCGGGAATTACCTGAGCGGAGCCCGAGATTGGGTAACCCGACTTACCGTAGGCAGTGTGGGCTACTGTAGAGCACGACGGCAGCTTCTGGACAATGGTGGCAGTACCTCTATGGGCAGCGGCAGATTGTGGATGGCGAGGCATCTGGTGGTTTCTGGGTAGTGGAAGTTCTGGATGGCGTGGCAGCTGCTGCAACAACCTCCAGTCGATAGTGGGCATCAGCGAACGACGGCAAGCGGTGGCAATGGCTCTGATACCACTGCAGGGAGGGTTATCCAGCTCAGGTCTCACCGATTATACCCACAAAGGATATCAATTACCACTATAGTCACAAGGTGTGAGGTTGTGTGGCTACAACCTCCAAGCTTAGTCGGCCAAAGCTTTTGAACCCCCCCACAGAGGAGCAATGCGGGATGAAATGAGAGAGTAGAGGGGTTTTGGCCATCAACGGAGAAGAACGAATTTAATATGGCCAATCACTAAACCAAAAAGGAAACTTACCATGTCAAGGAGGTTCCAGAGGCTCGAACAAGGAAAGCGGAAGATACATCGCACAAGGAGAGGCGCTGCTGATGGGTAGTCTAAATTCATGGGCCGGGTACAACTTAAGGGGAATTGGGCATTCGAATAAAACTGGGCCAATACCTAACAGTTGTACCTGTTGCTCATTGTTGCACTTTGTTGAACTGTGCTGCATTTTGTTGCATCGTATTGCTACTTGTTATTTTTGTTAATGTTGAATTTTATTGTTTATTTAAGTTTATGTTTATCTTTGCTACTTCTTTCAAATAAAAAGCATATAGAGTATATAACTACACACACACGGTGACATGGGTGTGATAAGTTCATATTTCAACATGCATTTGATGCGTGTTGGGATTGGATTTTGATGATTTTCCTTGCTTTAAGGTGTTGCAAGTATCAATTTTCGCTCAAGTTGTGATTACCAGGCGTTGGGTCGAGTTCAGTTGCATTTGGAGTCAAATTGAAGAAGTTAGAGCTTGACAATCGGCGCTTGAGAGGCAATCGGGAGGAGCTAGAGAGAATTCAAGAGAGATTTGGAGGTTACCGGGTGATTCACGGCAAAATTTTGATGAAGAAAGAACATTTGGATCGACCTTGTTTGCATCTGGGAGCGTTTGGAGCAAGAAAATAAGAGAAATGAGCGAAAAATACGAACGCACGATCCTGCGTCAGTTACAAAACCGCGGAGGGGCTACTGCCTGCTACGCACGATCGTGCGTAGCCAGGGACGCACGATCGTGCGTAGCCCCGAGTTACGCACGAAAATTTCCCACATCGGCGAGAATTGAGATTTTTTCCCTCTTTTCTATAAATAAGGCCTCCCTAACCCTTTTTAGAGGTTACGAACATTACGGAGAGGCTTGGGGACGAATTTAACATCGTTTTTACGCTATTTTCTTCCAAGACCCTGGGATTATTTGTAAGTTCATCTTTTTAATTAATGACAATTATTTCTATTCATCCCAATTGTGTTGATTCTTCAATTATGAATTGTGAGTAGTTTAATTAGGGATTTGGGGTTGATGAAGGGGTTAATCATGATTGATGGCTAGATTCTTGTCGGTTTAATTGCATGAATTCCGTTTAATTTGTGTTTGAACAATTTAACTGATATCTCTTGTAACCTATACTGCAGCTAGAATTACAATTGCATGTAGAATGAATTAAGAGAGATCTAATTTGTTCTAGGACACAGTCACACACGCTTAATCGTTCGCTAAGAGATTAGTAGCGATTGAGGGGCCGTAAGCTCGCTCGTTTTGACAATAATTTAGGATCTTGTCGCATGAGAGATCAGCCTGGTCCCCTAAATTATTGTACTCTACGTCGCGAGAGCGGTAAGAACTTAGTAATGATTACCTAGGCTCAATTAAATTAAATTCATGTAATTAGGCCTGTTCTGCCAGAAATCTGGATAACCCATAATCAATCTGTCACGCCCCGGACCTCCCCGGACACGTCAACAACCCGCCGTACAATACGAATAGTCAACCGCAGTCCAACACATTCATATTATACAAGGCGTCTTGAGTATCATTCACACACATAACATCCATAAACAAACATAATAAGTAATTCATAACGCAGCGGAAAATCTGGATAACCCAGAATCAATCTGTCACGCCCCGGACCTCCCCGGACACGTCAACTACCCGCCGTACAATACGAATAGTCAACCGCAGTCCAACACATTCATATTATACAAGGCGTCTTGAGTATCATTCACACACATAACATCCATAAACAGACATAATAAGTGATTCATAACGCAGCGGAAAATATTGTTTAAAACAAAAGGGCCACACAGGGCTATTCATGAGCACACAGGCTCTATAGTAAAATATCCATGAGCATGTTTAATATTGTTCAAAACAGAATGGAGAAGGCACGAACCACGCCTTCTCTCCAAAGGATCACCCGAACAACGTGCACAGGTAGCAAGCTCGAGCCTCAACTTGAAATGGTGGTGGGACGCCCCCGAAGGGGTCAGTACTCTATACGGCTATAAAGTACTGATGTGGCAGGCATCTAATAGATATACAACAAGCATTTCAAATACAAGACCCTCAAATAGGGTGATAGTACATTATGATTGTAACCCTAAGTTACCCCGTTTGAAAATATACTTACTTTATATAAAAGTCAAGTAGTCGGCCCGTGGGCTCATGTTCATTTAGAAATCACCATTCCCATTCCCCGTGACTATAAGCCACGACAACTCATAGAGTCCAACCCTAACACATGACATTGTATTCTAGAGCTCAGCTCTATCACATCACCATACAATTCATGTCAATTGGGTCAATTTCCTTACCTTGCGTTCTAGAGCTCGGCTCTAGTTATACCATACATAAACTACAAGTCTACCACCTTACCATGCATTCTAGAGCTCGGCTCTATCACATCACCATGCACCAAGGTCCAATTCTTAAGCAAACCTATGCCTAGAATTGACATATCAATAAAAACTACCATGGGTCATCCTTAAAGACTTCCCATAACTTAACCTTAGTTTCATACTAAGTCATTATATACACTTGAAGTGTATTCAAGTGCATTTCATACAATCCAATCCCTATGATCAATTCCAACAACAATTTCCAATAATCACTAACTAGTATTTCAATACTATTAAGATTATTATTATCATACAAGTATTCTCATTTTGTAATTCCTTACATATTTATATTATGTAGCAGCAACTTAAATATTCAATATCAATACATAAATATTCATTTATGTATCCTCATATTTCATACATGAGTAAAATGCCTATTTCACAAAATAGTTCATTTATAACTCATTTAATCTCTTATTATTCATATAACCTCAAATCACTTCCAATTGCATTCTTTGGAAACTATATCAATATTTCATCAATATTTAATCATCATAATCCATGAAAAATTATGATTTAGGCATTTAGGTAATCTCATGCTTAACCTACAAGTTGTAAGCAATTAGATGTCAATCCTCACCTTAATTGAGCTTTAAACCCTTCCTTCTTGATTCAATGGTCAAAGCTTCGGTCAAGGGGGATTAAGAACTGATTCCTTGCTTAAGTATGAGTGTTAACCAGCCTCCTCAAAGTGCTAGATCAACCCCTAAACGTTGATACGAAAACAACCCCTAGAATGGGCGTTTTCCGGCGAACTCGTTTCCTAGTTTTTCCAAGTTTGCTAACCTTTTCATTTTTATTATGCATATATTGATTAAATTCTTTTATATTTAAAACTTGATTTAGAAGTTTCAAATTTCCATTTTTATTATGCATTGATTGAATTTTTTTTATATTTGAGTTTGAGATTTTCTTTCCTTTTTAATTTAGATTTCAGTTTTTAGCTTTTTGACTTATTGTTTCCTAAGTATTATCATGTTTTAAATTTTTTATGATTTTTAACATTTTTATATAAAAACAAAAAAATTAATTGCCATACTAGTATACTACAGAGTATTTAAGAATCTAAAGCTAACATTCAATACGGTACGCAACGGTACGTACCGTTTTGGGGATTACCGGATTAGAGCTTCGGCCTTTGACTTTCTAAGTGGGTTTCGTATGAGGAGGTCTGAAATGAAAAGAAAAGTTTAACAAGTCTAATTCTGAAAGGAAAATTAAAAAGTAAAAAAAGTAATACTATTTTGAGAAAAAAAATTAAGATATTCTAAAATTTGAAGGGGTGTGAGATGAACACACCAAACTTGTATGTGTAATTTTTTTCTAAACTTTTTAAACGTTATTTTAGCACGATAGTCAAGTATTATTTCTTTAAAAAATGTAAATTTATGGTGTTAATTGCATAATTTAAAATATTTTAGAATTAATGAAGACATAATTAACATTCTAAACTTCCATTGCGAAATAAATAATTTTACCCCTGATCTATATAATTGCAACACTTTTAATTTGCTATTTTAAATTATAAAATTAATCCTATAAATTTACATTGTTTGAAAGAAATAATACATACAATGGTGTGAAAGTAACCTTTTATATATAATTTGGGCTATTTAAATTACATATGCAAGTTTGAGATGTCTACCCCACACCCTTTCAAAGTTTGAGTTATTTTTAATATTATTCCCTGTTATTTTTGTTTTTGATCTATATGTGAAAAATTTCCAAGTTTTTTTTGCTTCAAATAGATAGATACGAGAACATTATTTGCCATTTATAATTTATATGGACTATATATTTACCTTTTATTAAAAGAAAGTTTAGTTCCTTACCCATCAAGGAACACTGCGAAGTATGACCAAAAGTTTCACGTGAACTCGTCTGCACGGGATTGAAACTCATTCGGACCCGGTTTACCGCCCCGTCCAAAAGAGGGCTAGCCGGTTTATCCAAATGCCGTATATCACATTCCCGTCTAAACCACCTCCCGTTTTCCTCTTTCTTGCTTTCTCTCTATTATCTACGGAGTACTGTATTTTCTCTCTCCTCAATCAACCATCATACGTATATCTCACATCTGCTTTGCCGGGCACTTGCGAAATACTCCGCCGTCCACCGATGATATCCGACAGGCAGGAAACAGGTGAGTGCTTTCATTGTATTATTTCTGCTCTCGTATTTCATTGTATTGTTTTCTTTTATAAATTTTATTTATGCCTTCCGTGTCATTGCGGTTTGGGAGCTCGGAAACCCTATTGGGATTTTCTTTTTCTCTGGAACCTGACTGTGGATGTTCCGGTTTCATATTTGTTAGGTTTGGGGGAATTGAGGTATTCGTATTGCATTGCAGAGTTTGACTCGGTAAGAGGAAGAAACAGAGTCTAGGGTTTTCGTGTCCTGGAGCTGCGGTTATTACTACAGGGATTTCAGTAGTATCGGTGGTTTTGCTTCATTGGTTGATATTTTGTGACCTGGAAGATAGGTGTGGCCGTTTGGGTTAGGGGATAATGTGTATACTCTGCGTTATTCAGAAGTGGTCTCGGAGGGTTGCCACCATGTTGCCTTGGTTAGTGATTCCACTTATTGGGCTATGGGCACTATCACAGGCATTGCCACCAGCTTTCCGGTTTGAAATCACGTCTCCTAGGCTGGCTTGTGTGTTTGTACTCTTGGTTACACTCTTCTGGTACGAGGTTTTGATGCCTAGATTGTCCGCTTGGCGGGCGAGGAGGAATGCTATGCTGAGGGAGAGGAAGAGGCTTGAAGCAATTGAAATGCAGAAGTTGCGAAAAATGGCCACTAGGAGATGTAGAAATTGTCTGACTCCTTACAGAGACCAGAGTCCTGGCGCGGGCAAGTTCATGTGTGCATATTGTGGCCATGTTTCTAAAAGGCCAGTACTGGAGTTACCCAGTGGAATAGGTTTGGGCTTGTCAAATTCTGGTATTTTGAAGGGCTTGGTTGGGAAAAGCGGGAAGATATTGAATGGAAAGGTTTGGTCTGATAGTGGGTGGACATATGGACAGGACTGGATTGAGAATGGAAGTTGGGTCAGTGGCTCTTTTGTGGGAAAATCAAGCTACTGGATCAAGAATGGGGGTGGGGTTTTAGAGGGTGATCATTGCTTAGCGAAAAAGTCTTATTTTCGGGTGTTTGTATTTGCTCGTAAAGCATTTACAGCTGTTTACACGGGTATCTTGTGGCTTTGTAGAAAAATCTTTAGGGTTAGTTCTTCCAGAGGTGATGCTTCAGTTGAAGCTGAGGGTAGAGGAATATTGGATAAAAGAGGTGAAAATGGAGGAAATTGTCAAGAGAGTAAAGGGGAGAAAGCTCGAAGGAAAGCAGAGGAGAAAAGGCAGGCTAGGTTAGAAAAAGAGCATTTGGAGGAAGAAGAACGAAAACAAAGGGAGGAAGTTGCTAGATTGGTAGAAGAGCGCAGAAGATTACGGGATGAAAAAACGGAGGCTGAAAAAGAGCGTGGGAAAGGTTCTTCTCCTAAGGAAAGAGATGGTAAAAAGGAGTCAAGAAAAAGACATCAAGAGAAGAAAAAAGAAAGAGACCGGGGGTCTAGCAAAAGCAACTCAGATGCAGAAGAACTGGAAAAAAGAGTGGGAAAGGAAAGCGAGCGTAACAAACGGAATGAGAATGATCGAAGGGATCAGAGGATTGGGTCTGAATGTTTGAAAGCTCAAAGCAATGAAGTTGGAAATGCTTTTAAGGGTTCTAATGCAAACAATCAGAACCGTGGGAATAATGGAACGCGGTACTTAGAACGTATGAGGGGAACTCTTTTGTCATCTTCTAATGCATTAACTACAGGTGGATTTTTCGGAAAGAGTACCAATCCATCCACATATGCTCCTAGGAGGGAACTACCTCAGCCAGATCGCTTGTCTGTTAGAACTAATATAAATGGAGATGATAAGAGCATCAATCATCCTGTAAATCCTATTTCTTGTCTATCGATTACTTCTTTCGATTAAATAATGTGTGGTCTTATTGTCCCTGTCCATTTGTGCTCTTTTATGCTATCCTGCTAGATTTGGTTATGGAGTTTTGTTCATCTCTAAACTTTTTGCGCTTGCAAATTTGCAATCATGTGTGGTATTATATTTACCTGCAATTTTACAGATTAAGGTTCAATATGCCATGTAATTTGTGGCTTCCACTATCATTGACGTGTTTAATTCGTCTCATATTCAAAGTACACAAAGTGATCAGAGTTTCTTATATTTCGTGAATGCTTTCTTTATTATGATGTTTCTTACGTGGTATTTCCTTTTGATACAATCTAATTAGGTATATACTTTTCTCAATTTCTTTGATTCAGGTACTCATTGAATCACCTGTGCATACAGCTCCCAAAAAGTCTTGGCAACAATTATTTACCCGCTCACCTGTGTCTCCACCCTCTAATTCAAATGTCATAAGGAGACCAACTGCGAAATCCCAAGAAGGACAAAACAGTCCTCCTTATGCCAGTCACTCGCCACCTGTTCAAGCATTTGACAATCCTATTAATTTTGGACTCCCATCTCCGTTCAATTTATCTTCTCTCACTTTTGGTGCACCAACAAGTAGCAGCACATCTGTTCCATTATCATCTGAAACTATATTTCCTCGTATAGGAGAAGCATCATCTCCATTAGTGAATGAGGAATCAGAGAATTATGAGGATCCATGCTATGAAACTGATCCAGTAGCTTTACTTGGACCAGTTTCTGAGTCCCTTGATAACTTTCACCTAGACCTAGGTTTCAAAGCAGACACAGGTTTAGAAAAACTGCCTGCTAGTAGTAATTTTCTTTCATCTTCTGAAGTGACTAGGCCATCACCAATTGAGTCTCCGGTATCCCGGTCTCGAGTTCATGATGAGAGGAGCACTAACTCTTTTCATTTCCCCACTACTCCCAAGACTCAGGATTTGCCTAATGGAGCAAAGGATGATTTGTGTGAGGGAAATGATGCAGGATGGCAAATGTGGAAGAGCCCTCCTCTTGGTCAGGGTAGTCTAGGTTTAATTGGTGGTCCATCTTCATGGCTTTTGAATCAGGAACTGAACATATTGACTCGGGAGGAACATATTACTCATCCTGCACCTCAGAAGACTATGGCGTCACTTTTTAGAAATGACGAGCAACTCCTTCCTGGCATTCATCATTTGCAGACAGGTTTCACTGGAAGTTGTCAGAGTGGTGGAACGTTTGTTACATCTATGCTTGGAAATGGTGATAGCATATTTTCAAATCCTATAACTGGGACAGTTTCTGGAGGTGAAAATCAGTACTGTCTTAAGCCAAAGGGGGAAACCATACCAAATGAATTGATATATGGAGGTCATGGTGCAGTTGCCATTAACCATCAATTTGAGTTACCTTCAGCTAATTCTTGGGCCAAGTAAGTGCAGCCAGTTACTTTTTTTCTTTTTCTGATATATGATTTTTGGTTTCCTTTCTTCGTCATTTGGTCTGCATAATTAGGTCAATTTAAGCAACTATTGGTTTTTAGGGCAAGATGCCTACATCAATTACATTTATGTCTCGTGTATTTAATTTGTATTACTGAGAAATGTAACATGCCAATCGCCGTGCAGAAGTTACCCAAAGTTCAGATTTTAGTGGGAGAATTGTACTCCATTTGTCACAAAGTATATTAGGCATTTAATAATTGTGCTGTTTTATACAAATTACAAATAATAAAATATCATATGACTTAAGTTTATGTAATCCAATCAAATAGATCCCGTATATTCAAATCATTTCCCGCAGTTCACATGCAGTACAGCTGAGTTGGTAAAAATTATAAATGTGGCACCAATTCCCTCTCCGAAGTGACTCCTTATATTTAGGGTATTTAGATTATACTAGAAAACCTATATTATCTGCTTCCACTAAATTTTGTTATGAACCACATTCTCTTTTCTTAAACTTAAGGTGGCAGAAAATAACTTAAGAATGATTTGTTTTTTTTTCCTGATGGTTTTTAAATGAGTGGCTTCAATTGCTTTTACATGAAAATTTGGGAGTCTAGAAAATTTCAATTGCTCTAGTTACCCTATCAAGGTTGCTAATTATTCATGTTGTCTTGGCAATATCTCAAGGCACTGTGATAGAAATGTAGGGTCAACCACAACAATAATGATAAAGTCAATGAATCTTTATTGTTATAATAATAGTAATTATTATTATAGTTATAATATGTGCACACACAGAAGAGGCAGACAAAAGGGGCGAGGAAGTATTATAGTATCCCTATATTAATGTGTTTATTAAGTATATACTACGTATGTTTAAATGTGTATCAGGCATAAATGAATATGTGCATCAATTTGATGCTTTGGCTTCTCGAAACTTTGTCAAAAGAAATTGATATTCCCAAGAAGTTGGTTGGGTAAGGACTCCATCAGTTCAAGACTAAAACTTCCTTCTTATTTAGTTGCAACAGCTCAACTTGAAACCATTTTCCAACACATGACTTTGACCTTTAGTTTATCTAATTGGCTATTTGTAAAAATTATAAAAAGAATCATTTTTTGAAATTCTGTATTAAGACAATTTTAATAAATTTTTAATAATATGATTATTGTTACATACTCCCTCCGTCCCGAAAAGGTTGGCCAAATTTCCTTTTTTGGATGTCCCAAAAATATTTGTCATTTCCATTTAAAATAAGGAATATGTGGCTAAAGTTAATTCTCTCCCCTCTGCACAAATTTCAACCACACAGTTTTTACTTTATTAATCCACGTGAAAGTCAACTTTGGCCAACCTTTTCGGGATGGAGGGAGTATTATTAAATAAAATGTGGTCAAAGTATAGTATGTGAACAATGCAAAAGGCATACTGTTGCAACTTGTAAGAATGGAGTTAGTATATTGAAATGATTTGTACAACCTAAAAATTTAAAGATAATTGGGGCCTGGGGGTGAAACTTGGGAAGGAGTTGATACCTGAGTTTGCCTTATCATGATCACCTAACTTGCTAAAACAAATGAACATCTCATTTAGTACCCCCCTAACAGACAGTCATGTCAAGAAACAATATTACATCCTATCATTGTTAGATTGACCAAAACAATAAGGAAAAAGAAAAGTGTGGCACTATTTGCAGTTTTGCACCATGTTTTTTTATTTTTAAAATAAATAAGCCATCAAATTACATTCCTACAGTCCTACCCCTTTCCTAAAATAACCTAGTTATTATAATACTGGATACATCCTTCTAACATTATTTAATTTACCTTTACCCCAATTTAATCATTAAGTTGCCCCCTTCTTCAGAAATCCTATCTAAAATTCTGGCCCTTCGCAGTACTAAATATATAAGGCAAGGCTATGAAACATAGATGATATGTCAGATGTGCTGCCTTAGATATATTCTTTGATCAGTAAAAAAATAAAAGCAGGCTATGCACAGTGTGGATTTCCAAGTGACCCCCAATAGTCCATAAAATGAAGGTGCGTATGCCGTCCCTTACAATTGGGTTCTATGCAAGAAAGAGTTCTTGTGGAGGAATGAACTCCAAGAACTCCTTGAAGACCCACAGTAACTCTTTTTGATACAGCATCTTTAATGGGGGTTCCTTGAGGAGCCATTCCATGACTGGGAATCGGGTTTCTTTTGTGGAAGGGTAAGATGGATAATGTGGGAGAGTTGATTTATTATTTAGAATATTATGAGAAAATATTGGAGGTTTGAGTGTCTCAGTGTGTACTAAGTTTTTGTGTAACCTTAAATGTTGAATTTCTTCAGGAAATTTAACCTTGAATATTAAATTGAAAGAAAATGAGATGCTAATTTCTTTTTAATAATTTACAACACTGATGTCAACAGATATTTTTTAATATTGAATAGTTAAACTTTGAAAATGATAGAGTAGACCTTTTTTGTGTAACCTTTAGATGGGATCTGTAATTCTTTTCTAATAATGTAGACCAGTATGATGTGAACAATTTTTGTAAGCATTGAAAATTTGGAACTCCTACGAAATGAAAACCATAATGCTTAAATCAGGGAAACTTCCAAAATAGGAGTAAAAGCAAGGCAGCTTCTCTAAATAAGAATAATATTATGCAGTCCTATTCAAGGGTAAAATATAATACTCCTATTTTGGGAAATCGCCTGGTTTTTACTCCTCTTTAAAGCAATTTCTTCTTAAATTATAATTGTGAAGCGTAAGATTGGTGTATATATTTAGATTATGAAATTAATCTTAGCTGTATGCCTGTATGTGAAGTTATGAAATGGCAAAACTTTGCTGTAAATGTTTGAAATCAGTTTGTAATAATTAGACCATTTTTTTAAAGCAGGCATGCAGCTAGATGCTCTAACAATGAACCAGTATTGGGAATATATGAAAGTTATATGGAGTATTAAGCAAGAGCTTAGCCAATGTGTATACCATTAGTGTCAACCTCCAATTGTTAATTGTTAATTATATTAACAATTAACCATCATCTTCTGACATATCTAAACTCTAGCATGTCATTTTGGGACACTCACTTTCACGAGGCCCCTTATGTACAGTTTCCAGAAGACTTCCTTTCGGAGACTCAGCTGTCATCTTACTTCTACAACCTGCACTTTGTGTAACATTCTAGATTCTCAACAGTTTCTGCTGTGCTTGTGGCTATCTTTCTGGCTGCATGCATACACTTGTCTGATACTCATCCTTCAGGTGCCATTAACAATTTAACACGATTACCAATTTTCCACAAAGAGAAGTGCTATAAAAATGACTACTGAGCTCTGCATGGTAGAACCATCTTCTTTCTACCATTATCATGCACCCAAAAAGTTTATTATAAATTAAATAAAATGTTGCTCAAAATAAATAAATATATAAAGGTAAACGCATCAAATATAGCCTTGATACTTGCTCCAAGTTACAAATAAGCCTCTAAGTTTTTTCCAGGTACATTAGCACCCTTATTATTTGGGAGAACTGTTCGCAATTGATGTACTACCTCTGTTATTTATTAGTTGCACCATGCTATATTTTATTGGCTAATGTATTTATCAAAATAAATTATATAAAATATTTTTAAATGTGTAAATGTAAACATTCAAAATATAATGTTTTAATAACTTTTACTAATAGCCGTTTAAATATATTAATAGTCAAAGTCGTGTGTTGGCCATTGTTAATAGTCAAAGTCGTGTGTTGGTCAACATGAAAGTTAAAGTGTTTCAACTAATAAGAATGGAGGAAGTATAACTGAACCTTTAAATTAAGATATAAAGATGACTTATTTGTATCTTAAATGTAAACATCATAGGTTTATTTGAACATTTTGAATTATTAAGGAGGTTTTGTGGACCAAGTATGTGGTTGAGCTTGAGTTGCGGACCCATGGTACCAGATTTTAAATCCTCCCAAAGTGCGAGAGGTGGATATTACCTTTATAGTTAGTGAAAATGGACCACGACCCCCCTTTTTAAGCCTATGGTCGCCTATTGAGCGCCTCTGCGTGTGACTTGTATCCCCTTTCCAATTGTTGAGTGGAAAGGGATATCTTAAGTTCTAAACCCTTGTCGCTGTAGGTTGTCGCTATTATGTTAAAATTACTTGAAACATCAAATATAGTAAATCTTTTAGAATAGCTGTTTTACCATTTCTTCTTTCGATTGATTTCATGCTATTATTTGCCAAGATCTAGGCGTACTTTAATGGAAACCCAAGAAAGAGTAAGATGGTTGTTAAAACTCTAAATATTTGATATTGCTTTACTTGTAGTAATTATTCAATCTTGGTAGTATTATGCTAATATATCTGTTATTCTGTCCAGAAAGGAGTGGACTGTGCAAGGTCGGAGCGATGGTGTTGGAACATCTCCTATGTCAGATGTTGGTGGTCTATATTCCGCACCAATGGCACAATCTCTTTGGTCATACAAGTGAGAGAACAGAAGAGGTTTTTTTATTATTTTATTTATGGAAAGCCCAAAAAAATGATAGGGGTATGAGGGGCAAGAGTATACCTCCCACTCTTGAGGGGAAAACCGCCTCTTTTGGAGGAGAGTTTAGAATACTGAAGCAATGTATCTTCCTACTTTTCTTTACAAAGGGAAGATTTACTTTAGCTTTTGCATCTTCACTTGATAGCGATGCGCATGGCAATGCATGTTTATTATTCTCGAGCGCAAATCAGTTGGTGAGAGGAAATCATTGCAACCATCCTTTTGTAATGATCCTTTTATATTGCTTCTCCCTGAAAAATATTGGTCTCTCTCAAATTGAGGTCCCTAATATACTTCTTCGCCTTGTTGAAATAGTGTTCATGTTTCCTTTTAAGAACATAATAACCGTGTGAATTAAACAGATCATACCAGACCTGAATTTCTTAGTGATAAAATACACAGAGATCAGACGTTTACCAGACTAGTTCAGACCAGACCAGATTAGCAATTTGAGTCCAAGTAAAAACATCTTTAATAGGCAAGTCACGAACCTTATTCTGGATAAATAGAGTCACAGCTAATGCTAATTATCCGGGCTCGTGGCCTTGTGGGGGTTAATTTTGACTCTTAGATCCCGAATCCCCAACTCCGTTTGGTTTTTCCATTACCATGTGCAAGAAATTAGCACACAAAAACTATTTGAAATAGTTTTGGAATATTCAAAATATGATAATCCTCCGGTCAAACTGTCAAAGTAATTTTCTCGCCTTTCTTCTTGGTCTATTGTCATAAACGGCTAAAAGTAGCATTTCCCTATTTGGTACTGACTTGTTCTTCTGAGGTTTGTTGATTTTCTTGAAAGGACCATCGAAAAAAATCTGCCGCTTCGCAATAGGGAAACAAAATTCTGTTTTTTTTCCTGTTCTAAATAAACACGTAGTTTTCACTTTGCTATTTGTCACTCAAAACTCCAAAGTAGCACTTAATTTAATAATAAGATAGAACTAATGTTTATTCCCAAACACTTGAAACAATGTGGGAATTTTGTTTTGGAAAAGCCAAAATCCATTGATCAAACTTGTGAGGTTATAATCCTTGAAACATCCTAAGAACATTCGTTCCTGGCAAGGCAGCTTGTAAATTAAAAAGAAAAAAAAAATGAACTTCACCAAATAAGAAAAAGCATCCTGGTCGAGATCCTCTCTGATGCCATTTTGTAATTGTGATTTCCATAGTTTATACATTTATCGTTGGTTTAATAAAAAGCACTGAGTGGACTGGGGTCTACCATGTAGATAGAAAAAATATATAGGGGTGTGATTAGGCATGGACCAGTTCCGGGCAGGGCCGGTCCTGGGCGGGCTTTTTGGGTTTGGCTTCGGGATCGGAACCGGCCCGGGTTTCCACCGGGTCCGGACTGGTCTCTGGACGGGCCACCGGGCCGGTTCCAAACAGTGCAGGGCCGGGCCACGGGCCGGTCGGCCCGGAACCGGTCCACCACTAGGGGTGATTGGGTGAATCCAAAAGAGTAACTCCAGAGCTATGATAATCGTTTTACTTATGGACGTTGGGGCAAGGTAGGGATTTTACAATGGAGTTAACATGCACCAATTATATTAATGTGATAATAGTCCCTATAAATGAGCACAAAATGCAATGGCCAGAAAACAAAGACTGCACGTATCAGCTACCAAGCCTGATCACCAAATCAATGCTATTTAATCACACAAATCAACAGCTTAGGTATTGAATCCATAGAGTTAAGCTGCAGCCTCCTCCACTTGTACTTCTAGCTGCTCAGGTCGTCAGGTCGTGGCTGATCACCTTGCATAGCCCAAACGATGTCCTTCAACGCTGGCCTTATCTCCTTCTCCATCATCGTCTGATATTCCAGTGTATCCCCATTGGACTTCTTCATCTCCACCAAATGGAAAGTAGGAGTCACTTCAAAGATTTCTGCATCAATGCACACAACCCCTTTTCTACCCAACTTCGTCCCTTCCAATCTGATGTACCCTCCTTTCTTCTTTATTGTCTTCAGCTTTAGACGCCTAGCAATGTCTTCTAGCTTGGAGAATATGGTTTTCGCCGGAAGTCTGGATGTGAACCTCTCTTCTCCCTTTTGATCATTTTTTTCCACAAACAAGCCAGACAGGTCAAAACCTGAGGAGAGTGATATGATATCAAAAGCATTCAAGTTTTTAAGCGTTATGGGTTCTTGATTATTTGCCTCTTCGGGCTCTTGATTGCTGGCTTGCCTTATATCCAAACCCTTCCTGAACCAAGAATTCTCCATTATCTTGGCAATGGTAATTCGGGTTTTAGGGTTTGGATCTAAAAGCTTTGATATCAACTTACGGACATCCGAAGAGAAAAACGTCGGGTACTTGAACTCTGCCTTCTTTATTTTTCGATACATCTCCATCAAGTTCGAATCCTGGAAAGGGAGATATCCCGCCAATAGAACAAATAAGATCACCCCACACGACCAAACATCGGCTTTTGCCCCATCATAGCCTTTTCGTGTAATCACTTCCGGAGCAACATACGCGGGAGTCCCACATGTGGTGTGGAGTAAGCCATCTTGATGCCTGGACTCTGCAAGAGCACTCAACCCGAAGTCAGAAACCTTTAGATCACCATTCTCGTCTACCAGTAGGTTCTCAGGTTTCAGATCCCTGTGGTAAACACCTCTACTATGACAGAAGTCAACGGCACTTATTAGCTGCTGGAAATATTTCCTTGCAACTTCTTCTTTTAGCCTTCCTTTGGCAACCATGTTGAAGAGTTCTCCCCCTTTGACGTACTCCATGACAAAGTAAATCTTGGATTTGGTGGCCATAACTTCGTGAAGATGAACTATGCTGGGATGTTTGACTAGTCTCATCACGGATATCTCTCGTTGGATTTGGTCATTCATCCCAACTTTGAAAACCTTTTCCTTATCAATGATCTTGATCGCCACACTAGACCCGTTCTTTAGATTTCTTGCGTGGTGGACCTTGGCGAAATTCCCTTGTCCTATCATTTTCCCTAATTCATAATGTTGCATTGCATTGCTCCCTTTATTCTCCATTTTCATGTTCCAATAGCTGCTTCCTCCGTCTGGGTTCTAGGGTTGTGAAGTTTAAAGTTGACCTGTGAGAAAGATTTATAATTTACTGTTATTATCAAAACTTATATATTTAAAAACTATAATTAAAGCTCAACTGATGTGCCAAAACCGAGTTTGAAGATAATAAAAAACTGATACGTGAAATCAAAAGAATATACAGGAACTGGTTTGACGAGTGAATAATGAAATTGCAAATTAAATTTGGACTGAAGGAATAGTAATTAATGAATACCTTTGCTTCACCAGGCTATAAGATTTCAACCATCTTCACAGTGGTCATGATAAGAATAATCTGTGCTCCAACATATTTAGCCAAGGCTGGCATTAGGTAAGGAAATCTGAGATGGTTGTATATTTTTCCAACCTCATCAAATGCAAAGTAGGATGGCTGCTCAGAATAAGCTCCTTCCTTAATCTCAGACAAAGACTCCATCTTTCTGCATTCCCTGAGCCCTTAAACGGACTTTGGCAGTTTGACCTGAAAAATGAAAAAACCTTCAAACTCTGGAACAGATCAGGCAAGAAAAGAAATTGTGAAATAATCATATAGCACTTCAATTACAACATCAAATTTACTAGAGAATCATATTCCAAACCAAAAGTTGAGATGCAAGATCACTTATAGTGGACGCAACATCACGATACACGCCTAAACAAATAATATCAAATAGCTACAAAAATACACAATATATGTAAATTTTCACAGAAACAAAAGAAACACTTTGATTAAATACGTAGTAAGTAACAAAAAAAGGTAAGAGGTTAGCAGTGGCTGGGTTGGAGGGGGGGGGGGTCGTGTAACACCCCACAGACCGAGCCCCTACCCCATCAGTTTTTGCTACATACATACATACATATACAAAATGCAACTCATGTCAGTCACACCTGACGGATTCCTGCCATGCGTACACCATTTTTGAGCAATATATAATTCAACAATCTAGGTTTTTTCAGTCAATACTCATTAGCATCAACTATTAATTCTAACCATTAGAAACTCACATTCTGTAGAGAGGAGGAAAGTATGGAAACTCTGATGGAGAACAATTTATTTTTATTCACTTCACCACACTTGCAAACATACAATACAAGGGATGAGCTATGTATAAGATGAGTTCTCTAACCCTTCATATTCTAAACCTTTCATATTCCTATGTAATTATTAATCTCGGTAATTAATGAACCTAGAAACTTACAAGGAGCATCAAAAGACTCTATTACTTTAAAGTTTAATGTAATTAATTTCCAACACGTTCCACCATTAGACTTTATGGTTAAGATTAAGTCATCATTAAAAATAATGTTATCTTCTGTAAAATTGAATTTTCCACTTGGTCGGTGTGATGGTAATGAGCAAAAAGGTCTAGACTTTGCCTAAAGACAGAGTGCTCCTGACAGGAATCCCATCGCGCTTGACTCGATCTTTCCTCCATACATACATGTGCGCGAGCACACCTACATCTATATATAGATACAATTGACAAAAAATGTATTCTTGTATAATCTAAAAGAACAGCTACTTAAATATGAATATTTGGCTCCCGTTATAAAATTTCCAAACTTTGGCCTTTTAATACAATTCCTGACTTCCCCATTGAAGATTTTAGCCTTAAGAATACAAGTGTACAACTTTCTGTTGGAAATTTGCCATGCAAGGCAAAACAATCAGGGAGTTCCAAAGACAAGAACCTAAGTTGCACAGAAACTTAAAAGTCATGAGGAAACGGGAAATTGGAAACAACATCTTTTGGTCGAAAAACAATTATTTTGAGATTTTCCAAAGAATTTGCGTAGAGTTTTCGAAAAGGAAACGTACTCTGTCCCTAGAGCTTCCATGCTTCATAGACAATAACACATGAACAAACGTGAGAATACCAGTAATTAATCCCCAACCATTGAAGGAATATTAATTGACTATTCTTCCATAGATCCTTCAAGATCTTAAAGAAGGGAACTGTTTTGCTCCATTATCCTTCAAGATTTCTGAGGAGACAGAGATTCAGAATATGTGGAAACCAAAAACTCAAAAATTACACAAAACGTATCAAAATAACCATTACACAAGGCTGCACCAAACGACAAGATTATGAAAACAAGTTAATCAATGTTAAGCTTCATCAAAAATATCTCTTTACCTTGAGAGTTGAAGGAAAAAGGAAAATCAATGTTGCAGGAGCCGGATGAAGAGATTATTCTTCAATTTCTCTGTTTTATGGAATCTGGGAACAATAATAGGGTGGGCAAGAAGTCACCAGTGTTAATTGAGCAGGTTTGTACTTAGGCCATGTGATATGGATGATTAAAATAATAACAACCACCCAAGTGACCCGACAAAACCCATAATAATAACAACAATATTATTATTATCATCATAACTACCGGATTATTGTTGATTATTATTTTTCTATTTTTTTTTCTGGCTGAGAAATTTCTAAATTATGTCATGTTCTATTATATGAGAACTATTAGTTTTATTCTTAATTAAGCCTTCCAATTCGAAATAGAACACTAACTTTGATATAAAGAATTATTTTTATTTTTATTGGTCCGTGTCTCGAATTCGAACTAATTTAATTGTGCATACATCATTCAAATTAAAATAAGGAAAAATGCAGAAATAATGAAATCGAAAAAATGTTAAAAATCGTAATAGTCAATCCTTTATATAAACATGTCATTTTTATGGATGAGAATACTACCGTGCAACAATGGGAAAACGAAAAAGTAAAAAAACCGTGCATTCAAATAAATCAGACCTCTCGCCGACATCCTTCTCCATGGCGTCTCTTCAGGTGACGATTCCAATCGCTTCCGGTACTGCATCTTCACCTTCCTTTTCTGGGTCATCTCACACGGGCTTCACATTAAGGGTCGATTAAGGGTGCTGAAGATAACAGAGAGAATTTTGGATCGAGATTAGGGTGCTGAAGCTTCAAATTAGGGTTGGGTTTTTTTTTAGGAAGAGGGTGATGATGAGAGGAGTGGGGAGAGTTGAGGTGAGAAAGAGCCGAAGAACACATTTGTTTTTTTTTGCTACAATTACTGTACCTTTCTAAAAACAGGGTACCGTACCTATCATTCATTTGATTGGACCACATCACTTTATTGTCCAAATTAGATTTTGCACCCCGTTTTTTAAAATCTTTGTTTTTGCACCCCAACCCCATATGAAAAGATGAAAATGCCCCTCCATTAACTATTTTGTTGGCCTTCAACATATTCCTGATCAATGGCATTTTTGTCTTTTCATATGGGGTTAGGGTGCAAAAACAAAGATTTTTAAAAATGGGGTGCAAAGTCCAATTTAGACAATAATATGGGGTGCAAACTCAAATTACCCCTTAGATTTAAATAATTCAACTGCTAGCTTTTCATTGGTCCATGTGGACAAAAGTATGGTACCTTATGAGTACCATAGAAACTACCTTGTTTTTTTTGCAACCAAAACAGCTTTATTCATTAATATCAGTGAGTAATAAATCAATCATACAATCAGGTGGTCTATGAAACCACACATACTCAGGCTCAGAAATGGCTTGCCGTGCAAACGCATGTGCAACCCGATTCGCTGACCGATTAACAAACTAGACACTTATCTTGGCAAAATCAGCCATCATATGTCTAATATCATCATAAATATCATTATTATAAGAAGAACCATCCCGATCTCTAATCCCTTGAACAACCTATTTAGCATCAGATTCAATGATGACATCTTTCCACCCCGTATCCGTCGCCCATTGAATTGCTTCTCGAATGGCCAAAGCCTCAGTAGTGCTGGCTGAAAACCTCCCAGCCTCCTTGACCCCGAAGAACACATTTGTTATACCCCGTAGAAGCCAGAAAGGGGAGAAGGGTGAGGAAGAACAGTGTGTAGGAAGAGAGGAAGGAATAATTTGGGGGGTGAGAGAATTATCATAAGGGTAGGTGTGTAATTGTACATAAAATAATTTGCCAAAAAAGGAAATGGGGCTATCAAATTGGGACAGCCCAAAACGGAAATATGAGACTCTCATTTTGGGACGGAGGGAGTACTATTTATAGGGTAGGTGGGATGGATGACATGACTAACTCTGAATGGCTGACCCCTTTACCACTTGAGAAATTTATTAGAATATGACTAAAACTCAATGAGTTTCTCAATCTATGACCTAGCTAGTTTTAATACTTATCTATGACCAAAAATCCAAATAAATAAATAAATCTCATTTTTATTTAATGGTTAAATGACAAAAATACCCTTATTTAAAATATGTGCATTTTGCACTAATTTCGTCCAATTAAAAATAATGCACTTTATATTGCCGTTAATGCATGACATTAATGCACAACTTTACTGCACATCCGGTAATAATCACTGCATTTCCGCGCGCCAAAATTAATTTTCTTCTCATTTACTTGAGGAATTTATTTTTAGATTTTTTTAGATTTAATAATTTTATATTTTACGTTGAATTAAATATATTGGATTTCATGATGATATTACTGCTTTGTGTAACAGCAATACTGGTCATGATCACTGCACAACAAAATTTTCAATGCATTCATTCACTGTCATTTACAATATTATTTATCGTCATATTATATGTCATCATATTCACTGCCCATATTCAACACTTATTGTCATGTTCATCGCCAATGTTCAATGCCCATATTAAATTCCCATAAATCCTAAATTCAACAAACCCTAATCTAAAAAACAATACTCCCTCCGGTTTTTAATAAACTTCACACTTTCCTTTTTGGGACGGTCTAAAATAAACTTCACACTTCCTTATTTCCTTTTTTGGCAAAGAAATCTACATCAAAACAGTGCCAAACAGTGCCAAACAGTGTCTCTACAGTGCCAAACAGTGTCAAACAGTGCCTCAACAGTGTACTCTACAGTGAAGTCAAATTTCTTTCCTTATTTTGTGTGAAGTCAAACTGTGAAGATTAAAAAAAACCGGAGGTAGTAATAATTATGAATGAGAATGGAAACAAGTCAAATTGCTGCCAATATGCCAGCAATCAACCACAATATAGTGCATAAATGTTCACAGGGCTCAAGTATACTCTTTGGGAACCACATATTGTTCCTCCAACGAGGCAACAACATAAGGCATTGGGAAACCAATTGAGAAATATTAATATAATAATAATCCTCAAATACCTCAATGATCTCCTCGATCAATTTCTATATGGTAAATAGCCCATGCATATATTATATATATACATCTGTATAAGTTCTATATCTCTTGCCGACCAATCAATCTTTAATTTGAGACCATGGTATCGTGGTGTTTGAAGCTTTTCATCGACCAGCAGCTTCCCACCCAGGTCACGTCGGGTGAAATTACTACAGATCTGTTGAAGGAGGCGGCGCTGGCCGGCGGCCGACAGCTAAACGGCGGGTGGAGACTCAACAACGGCGATTGGGTGTGTGGGCGGCGGAGGTACACATGAGCGGCTGTAGCAATGGTTAGGAAAAAAGTAGGGAATTAGGGTTTTATAGATATAAACCAAAGGGTATATTTGTCCATAAAAATTATCTATAATTTAATTATTTCGATTTTTAATTTTAAATTTCGAATTTTAATATTATTTTAGGGAGAAAACTTGTTAGGTCATAGATTGAGAAACTCATTGAGTTTTAGTCATACCTAGGGTAATTATCTCTTACCACTTGCACACCCATGCATCCACTTGAGTGCCCATACTCCATCATTAAATGTGCCACTGCCACTTGCAAGGCTTCTCGATCGGTTCTTTGGGCTAATGTAATCAGCAACCGTGAATGACATTCCCTTCTGGTCAAGCATAAGATTCAACCCGTTCGGGAGCCGCCGACGGGGTATTTGTATAAGACTCCTGGGCCCGTTCAGGAGTATACTACTCCACCCCACCTAGGGTTGTATACGAACCGAATCGAGTCGAATAATGAGATTTTGTATTTGTATTTGTTTAATTTTTTCGAATACGAATTCGAATTCAAATATGAAGCGAATATTAATTTCGATTTGTATTTGTATTTGTTTAACAATACGAATAGTTAACGAATCATATTCGAATATCGAATCGATTTGAGCATAGGTTAAATATTAGTCAAATGTCACTTTAAAATAACTATTCTTATATTCTTAATGGAGTATGTGTTTTTAGAATTTAAATTTAATGGATCATTGCATTTTTAGATGATGAACAATAAAGTGAATTAATTTTATGATTAATAAATATAAATTTATTTCAAACTTTTTGAAATAAACACTAACACACATGTATTAGAAATTATACTTATAATGTGAGAAATAAGTTGATAATTGTATATATCAAAGTCAAACAACTCCGATTTTATTCTTCAAATCGAATACATAATTATATGTATTGTATTCGAAAGACATTTGAACCGAAAAATGATTTGTATTCGTATTTATATTCTGGTTTATTACAAATGTGCTTGGAATCTGTATGCAAAAATGTATATATGGGCTACACTTTGAGGAATTGAGGATATTTCTATCGTTTAAAGTTATTATAGTGTTATTACTATTATTATTAATATTGATATTAATATTACCATTGTTATTAATCGAATATATTTGATTAATATTCGAATCGAATACACTAATATTCTTATTTGTATTTGATAACAACTCGAATCAAATTTAATATTCTTATTTGTATTTGTATTTGAATTTTCCGAATTCGAATCGTCTTATACGAATTCGAATCGCGAATCGAGCACAAATTATTTGATTCGTTTACATCCCTAACCCCACCTAGTTTTCACTAGGCTTCGCTACTTTTTTTGGGGTTTAGGGATATTTTGGGCCGGTTTACTAGGCCAGACCCTATATCCCAACAATATTCTAAATTCAGGAGTCCTTTTATTTAAAAATCACAAATGGAGGTGATGTTATTGACTTTGATGTTCTCAAATTCCATGCGAAAATGATTATTTATGAACTGTGTTGGAACCTAGGATTTTGTTGTGCTAGTGTCTCAACATGTGATCTTCATAGAAGGAAAAGTGGTGTGTCGGACATTGCTCAACTCCTATATATGGTGTGTTTGTAGCCAAGTTTAATAAGGTTTTACCGAAGGTAATCAAATATTTAGTGATTAAGCATCAAGTTCCCGGTGCTCAACTTCACTAGCTACCGAAGATGTTTTAATTTCCACTTGAATTTTGAACCTTCTTTTGAAATCTCTTATCATTTCAGAAGTAATTTGTAATATTTCATCTAAGTGCTTTTGTTTGGAAACACTATTAAATGAGTGCTAGACTAGACAAGTAGATGAACTTGAGTATGATTATTAACTTTATAATAATTCGATTCCAATTGGTTCTAATACGTAGCATCGAAATTTACGTAATGAAAAACTACTACGGAGTATAAAGTATAAAAATTTCAGAACCCTTGAATCAAGGCCTTGCATCTAAGACTTTTGGTAGTTGCTTTTTAATTATCTCTAAAAAACTAGGCTTAGCCGCTTAGAGCTATCTAATGACTATTTCTTAACAAGAACTTGCATCTGATTGATACTGGCACTAATTTTTCTTGTGATTTCCTCCATGGAGTGAACTTATAATCTAAATAGGAAAAATTGAAAATAATAATCCCAACTATTGCCGGTCCGCCGATAATAATCCCAACTATTGATTATTTTTGTATAATCCCAACTATATGGACCGTCCGCCAATAATGGTCCATGACCAAATATTACCTCCTATAAAAAGTGAATTTTAAATAGAAATTAAGCGTAAAAATTAAAAGTTGAGATTATTTATAGGGATTACTTGTTTTATCTCTTCTCATCCACTTTAGAAACTACAACAATTTATTGATAGGGACCATTATTGGCGGAAGGTCCCTAAAGTTGGGATTATTCTGAAATAATCGATAGTTGGGATTATTATAGGCGGACCGTTAATAGTTGGAATTATTACTATTAATTTTTCCATCTATATATGAGTGACAAAATATGTAGCGAGAGTTTGTATGCTTTTGTTTTACGTAA